CTATGGTCAGCCTCCTACATATTAAAACTGGATCTATGCAAAAGTGAAGGTTCTAGTTTTGGGGCACTGGGATGTGTGGGAATATGTGCTGGTTCTTGTAGATTTTTCAAGTGGGAGGTGTATAGAGGACAGCAGCAGAGAGGCTGACATCAGGAACTGTACAGGACTTTCCCTTTCCTGAGAGTTTGTGAACCTGAATGTTGGGATTGAAGGATTCAAGGACTGAGTCCCAAGTTTAAAGATATCCAGGTACATAACTCGCACTGATGTCAACAGCTTAGGCACTCTGCGTGTGGGCCTAAGCTGTGGCAAGAGGTACAAAGTGCAGGCAGCACACGGAGCTGGACTGCTCTACTTTGCTAACTCATTTGTCACTTGGTTTCATACTGGTGCTGCACCGAGCTCTGCAGTGGAGATACCAACACTGAGATGCTACTGTATCAAGTGCAGATGGAAACTGCATATGGTAATGCAAGGTATTTAGAGGTGGGGGTTATATCAGGTGAGGATTTGTCGGTGAATTTTACTGTAAGGGTTAGGTTTTAAACAAAACTAGAAGCTCAAATTGAAAGGCAAAGTACCTTGCAAGTCATGGGTGTAAACTCCACTCGGCCTTGACATGAGCCAGCTATAGTCCAGAGGATAAGAATTTTTTATCTGTGATGAGGCAAAAGCTGTGTTGCCTGTGTTTGGAGTTTTACAAGGAAAGTTTTGCCCAGGCCTATGTAAAATCTTTCCCTAATAATTCTTTCTAGATGCTAAATTAAGTCAGTTATTCTCAAGTGAGTGTTTATCCCTAGGAGAGTATTAAATCTGTATCTTAACATCTTAGACATGAAAGCATGTTAACCAAGAGGTAGGGGTGGCAATTCTATGGCTGGTGAATGCTCAGTAAAGACTACTGGGGGGAAGTTACCAGAACAACTGTGTTAACCATTCCTGATGCGACACAAATATTTACAGAGCATGATAAGCATGCTACTGATGTGGATATCACTCTGTAAATATGCAGAATGCTCTGAGTATGACAGTGACTGGAGCTACAGGAATCTACACATAAACACATCAATCGTCTCATACATCTGCATATATTCACCCTACAGAGTAAAGTGCAAACATATGCAATGGCCTGAAACCATATCAGTTGGGGTCAGACCCTGCTCCTGTTATACAAGAAAAGCAGTGCTTCCCTGATGAACATGCTGCTTTTTTGCAGCTTTAAATATTTGCATGGCAATGAGCTATTCCATGTGAGTTGGTTGTTGATGCTGGCCAACAGCAACTTTCTCTGTTAGTGGCTGCCTGCAAGATTTGAAAATGAGATGTCATTGCCTCTGATTGCTGTGGTGGCCTTGAGGAGGGTGTGAAACTAGGCAAAGGCAGCAGAAGTGCAGCTCCGGTACCCGAGAAGGATGCCAAACTGCCACACCTTTTCTTTTTTTTTTTTTTGTTTGGTTGTTTTTAAAGTAGTTCAGGTAAATAAAAATTACTGGCCAGTTCAGTAAAAGTCAAACCCAACTCCTATAGAAATTTATGTGACAAAAAAAGTAAGTGCAAGAAAAGAGAAGTAAGTATATGGTCATTAATCAGAACAAAGAGAAAGAGCAAGCTCGGGCTATCATACAGACTCTGGTTTTTTTTCAAGGCTCAAATGTTCTGATTCAACAGTAAAGCTGGTAATATGCTGCTGCTAGCTCTTGCATTATGTTATGGGACTGTAAGTAAGGATTTGAATGGGATACGTGAGAAAGACACATGTGGATACAAGGGCTACTTTGTGCTACTGACTGAGGTGCTTCCCCAGTCATAAGCGGAAAGCAGAGAAGTCTCTGTAGCATGGTACAGCTGGACGGATTGGGGCATTCAGAGTTGGGAAGTCCCCTTCTGAAGCTTAGGAGGGGCTGGTGCCTGTACCCTTCTCCTGGGACTGTTCTGTCAGACTCCTCCTTTGGGCTAAACGCTTGCCTTGTGAGGCCTGAAGGTAGCACGCTGGCAGCCTTAAGCCCAAAGTATGCACAGGTCTATGAAATGGTGACTTCACATGTTTAGTGTCATAACGTCTTTGGGGCTTGCTGATGTCTATGGCTAAACTAGCAAGAAAATAGCTGAGAATCTGATGAACCAACTCAATTTTTTATTTATTTATATTTTGGAGATGCATCAGAAAGCTTCTGCATCTCAGATTAATGGTACCTGAAGCGGCCATGGCTTGCTCTCCTTACTGGCTTACCATTTTACATATAAGGAAAAGGAAGAGCAGCACATGCTAAACTTTGCGTATGTAAAAGCCTGCTGCTTCAAAGGGTCCTTTGCCGCCACCCCCATCCTTTTAAATTACATTTCTGGAATTACTCAAAGTTACTCATGTCCTCTTATGGAGGGTGTTAATGCGCAGAGGCACCAAGGGTGACAATGGGCACTTGGTGCATAATTTGGAGGGCAAAGTTTAAAACAGGGCAACACCAATACAGCAAATTTACTCCTACTCATTTCCAGTATGGTATTTGTAGTGTAAAGAATTGAAATGCAATCATATTTTGGGTCAAGGTAGTGGCTAATCAAATAACACTGGGCTATGCTGTGTTCATGGGCTTGAGGGGGGTGGCAGGGGTGGTAGTATTGTCACTCCTGGAGCTTTTCTTTCTGTTTTACAGAAGGATTTTTGTATTGCAACCACAACATATTACCACAGTGTTTCTGAGATACTAGGCCCTCTTCTGGAGTCCTGATTGCTTCCATTGGTACTGCTATCAATTTTACTTCTCCAACATAACTTAGAGATTTACTTCAGTTTTAGATTAGTACAGCAAGGATCTGCATCCATTCAATGCATGTATAATGAAAAACAGCAGAGCTGGGCGTTGTGCATACAGTTTATTATTCTGATTTCTGTTGTTGTCTAATTAATGTACTGCTTTAAAAGCAGTTCTGTATAGATGCCCAACAAAAACTTTAACAAAAAATATAATCACCCTTTTACTCTACCTAAAGATGTGTAAGAAAGACATGGCAACAGAAATCAAACCAGGCCACTACTCTCCCATATACCAAGGGCTAATCTCACCTGTCCCCAAAGTAGTATTAAAACTGTTGGGGGAAAATTGACAATTGATAAAATTGTTAAATTACTCATTTATGAAGTCAATGTAGGTGGCAAGAAAGAGTTGTTTTTAAGGAATTTTTATGTCCAAGAAACAATTTAGCAAAGGGAAGTTTGGAAAGAAAGGGAAACAGTATGACTGACTACAGAAAGTTATGGGACGAATATTCCCTGCATAAGTCTAGCAGGTGGCAAATGGGAAGTGGGCAATGGAGCAAAAATGCAGGAGGATGGTGGCAGACTCTTTGTAAACACATCAGCTTGGGTGATAGCTGCTCAGTGGAGCCCCCTGACTCCCTCTGTTTTCCTAGGTTTAAGTGCTAAAAGTTGTGCAAAATCCAGGCCTGATGTAAAGAGATGCCATTTTGAGGGTACTCTGGAGCAGGGACTGAAGCTGTATATTTAGTTGGTGTGCACATTTTAAAAGCCTTGGGAGAACATCATTAAGGGGTCACCCAAGATTAAAATCAACTTATTTTCCACAAATCATTTCAACTTCTAATCAACAAATTAAGTAGTAGAGGAGTACAAGATGGAATGTCCCAGGGACTGTGACATAACTTGTGCAGCAAGGTAACCCTTTGCTGTGTCTAGTGTGAACAGCATCACATACGTATTTGACAATACAGTAGTCAATCCTTCCCCTTCTCCCACCCCTTAATAATGTAATCAAATTGCAGAGTAGCAATAGGAGTGCTGAACAGAGGGGGATGTACCTCCATGAGGATCTGTTCCCTTCTATTTACAGCAGCAGACAAGAAATGGGAGAGAAACAGGAAAGATGCCTTCCTTTCAGGCTATTTTCCATCTTGATTCAGCTCACTGTGGAGTAATAGGCTAAGTTTAACATAGGTGATAAGGGTGTTCCTGGCTACAACAGCTCTACGTAAGTGAACATAAAAGTTTCCAATAAAAGCATAAGCTAACTTAGCTGCAGTGCTGCTTAAACTGGAACACTTTATCTCTACTCTGTTCAGTTGAACACTGGATCTTGGCACATGCTGGTATTTGCTCTGTGGTGTGTCTTCCCCCGAGCTTCACTGGAAACAGCAAAACAGACTTCCCTGTTGCCCTTAGGGGGAATTAGACAAGTGGAAAAATGATCAGCTGTAGGCATAGCTGAAGAGGCAGCCAGGGCAGTGTTGTAGAGAGGACAGCTTGACTGTGCCATTTCTCTTCAAGCAATATTCCACAAGAGCAATGAAAAGATGAATAGTCTGTGCTTGGTTTACCAGTTTTAGACCTGGGATACTTTAATAGTCACTTATTAGCTACCCCAAATGTGACCAGACTGCAAAGGCTCTTCTCAGAGCAAAATAAATTGCCACTTTCTCTAGTGAGTGAGGCATATAGTTACTACAATAATCTTTATTTGGCTTTCCTTTCTCATGCTAATTTCAGAAGGGAAAAAAGTTATCCTAAACACGTGTCACCTTTTTGCTTGTCCTATAGCCCCACCTTTTTCCTGACTTTTGGGGTTTTTTTTTGTTTGGGTTTTTTTTTTTTTTTTAAGTTACATAGGCTTACTGGCCTGGTTTGACATCCAGATGACAGTTGCGTTCACAGCTAATTGCAAGTGTGGAAGTTCAGCTGCAGTTTCATGTGGCTCCCACTGTTGCAAATTTGAATTAAAATGAAGGTTACTGAAATGTATCACTCCTTTAGGTACTAGCCCAATTTACTGGCAGGTTCTGGGGCCATTCCAGACCCCCCACTCATACTTTGCCTCCTTTGCTAGTGTGAGTGAGGGACACAGAGTCTCAAGTGGATAGAATATATACATCGACAAGCTCATTGTTTCTTAATTTGTCAACAACAAATAGGCAATTAATGAACCCCGATACTTTTTTACTGTATACCTTGGATGTCTTCTCCCCTTTGCAACAGAGCACAGCTAGGTTTAAACGATGATATCGTAAACTCGGCCCACTCTTCCCAGCCATTCCCGTACTGCCTGGCGGACACGGATATCTGTCACGTGGCAAGTCAGCTGGCTGATACAAGGGAACACCGCGGGCTGCAGGGCTGTGAAAGTTTGGTCTGGCAGGGCCTGAATCTGGTTGAGAACTGTCAGCACCATGTTGGTCCATGCCTACAAACAAATTGGATACAAAAAAAGACTCCTTAGAAGACCTTTCTAAATAGATGAGCCTATCAGTTGAGGCAGAAAATAAGATATCTGGTGGTTGCAGCCTCATGAAGAGGACTGAGTAATGCCAGCATATTCATTTTATGTTCACTGTGTCTTCCTAAGTCACATTCAGTACTGTAAATCATTGTTTGACTTTGTATTGCAGGTATCGTGCTCGCCCTTCACCATATTTTATTTCACCCCACAGTGAACAAAGACTTTCAAGTTTGATGCTTTCACTGATTTGTTCACTTGGATATGCAACCAGCAAGTTTCTGTTTAGCAAGAGAGCCCGCTATTTCTGCTGTGGAATTAACAAAAACAACTTCTTAAGTACAAAAGCATTGTGACAAGCAGCATCACATTTTCAAAAGCCCTTAAGTGGGCTAGAGCCCTTAGCAGTAAGCAATGAGTTCATTGTAGGTTGTTAGTTCTTAGGACTAAGTGCAGGTTTGGGCCCAGTCACAGAAGCACTCTTAAAAGCTGTACTAGTATATGCCTGATAACACTTCCACTGATTGTCTTTTGATAGGACAGAATCAGGTTTTTATCAGTGCCAGCTGCTGAAATATTCAGTCCTCATCATGATGACTTCTTTACGTAATGAAGACATTTAATGAAGAGATTATAATCATTATAATAAAAGCAATAGAAAAAATATTTATAGGTATCTTTTTAATTATTGCTATTATTATTATCAGCATTCTACAAGTATGTCCTACCTGTATCTGGGCCTCAGCATCCCTAACGGATATATTCAGGGAACTGACTGTGGATCCTGAGCGTGGTCTCTTCTCTTGTCTCAGGATCTCTGGACCAGCACTGAATGAATGCCTCATTTGACCTTGATCTATAAGATGTTGTGGCCGCTGGAGTATGGGTGAGTCTGGCCCTCTTGAACCCAGGAGCTCCCCTTTCTTTTCCACTTTGACCTCTTTAGTGAAGGATGCCATGGCCTGTTGCTGCTTTCTTTTCTTGTATTCTGTCATGAGCTTGGAGATAGTTTTGTCAGTGGCTATGGTGTAGATCTTGTTGCCAGCACTCTCCCACCATTCTTTTTTCCTGGTTTGCTCTTTTTTCTCTGGTTTAGGACTTAGGGGTGGGGGTAGCAGCAACATTTCTCCACTCCCTCCTCGTGGTGTCAGGCTGTCTCCCAGTTGGTCCCTGATTTGACTCCGGTCATCTTCCGATGGTGTGTCCTTCCCAGATTGCCCTCCGGTTGATGGGGTAGAGGTTTCTGAGTGAAAGGATGGTAAAATGAAGAAAGGGTCACCTTTGAACACTGGAGGCTCCTCTACATTATTCTCCAGGTCCAGATGCATCTGAATATAGTTGTTGCACAGTTCCATACAGAGCTTATGAAGCCGCTTGATTAGCCATCCCCAGTCTGCATTGCTGACAGGCTGTACACTGAGAGATGGTATTCGAGCCCTCCACTGTCTCTTCTCCTTCCCTCGTGGGGGGCTGACCTGGGCAGTTTCTTCAAAAATGTCTTCATCTTCCGAAGAACACTGCTGTGACGAGTCTGTGCTTCTCTCATCATCTTCAAAGAGGATCTTCTTCACTTGCTCTGCAGTGATGTTCTCCTGGTTTGTCAGGATTGCACAAACCAAGGCATGGAAGTAGATGTTGAAGCTCATTGCTGACTGGCGATACAAGTTGGCAGCTCCACTAATGCCAGACACTTTTTTCAGCAAACACTTCAAGCCAGGTCTGGTATCAAACTCCCTGGCTGTTCTATAGGAGTCCAGCAGTAAGTCAAAGATGACAGCCAGGTTTTGCATGGAGATGTACCTGAGAAAACCAGCCAACTTGTTTTCTGGTACTTGTATTGTCATTTTTTCCTCCAAGTTAGAAGGGCCTTTCACAAATTCTTCCAGTAAGATGTCATATAAATTCTGGAGCAGTACTTGGTGGGACAGCAAGCTCACCACTATCGTCCTGAAAGGAATACTTGGTAAACCAAGCATGGGAAAGAAAAAAAAAAAACAAAACTAAAATGGTGCATTGTGCTTTTACTAGAAGTACAGGAATACTTCATATTTTAAAATCTAACATGAAAGATGAAAATGAAAAGCCAAATTTTCAGAGCCTTATTAGAAAAAACTGGAGGAAGATAAAGTTGTCTAGAATGGTCTTTCAGCTACTCTTTCAAATATTTTCAGAGAAGGGAAGACACTTACATCGGTTAAGAAAAATAACTGTCCAAAGCAAGCACACTAATGGCACTTGTGCAGACGTGGTATTAAAACAAAGCTCTGTTATAATTTTTGTCCTTTTCTCCAGAGATGTCTAACACTGAGGGATTAAATATTCTGTGTTTCAATTTCATGGCAGCTGCAAGTACTCTTAATATTTCAGCCTGCTATAATTGAGGAATTTGTTAATACACAAGTTATGCAGCACTTCTGCCATTGGTCCCTGACCATATTTTTGTTACTGAACTTATCACTAAGTTCAAATATCCTTAAAATCCCTCCTCCACCACCATTGCAGCCAATCTGAACTTTGCCATGACAAATTGAGGCCAAAACTAGTTTACCACTCCGTTTCCATTTCCACTAATGCCAGGAGTACTTCTTAAAAATAAAACACAAAGAGCCAAACAACCAATTAAAAAACATCTACAGAATCATCAGCAGTGCAATGGAGCATGCAAAGAAGCTTAACTCTTGCTGAAGGCACATTCACTGTTTGCTCTTAAGACTTCAACTTGAACACTGAGAACCTCTCATGGAAATATCTATTCCTAACCCTGTTTCTCACATGTAATATTGGGTGATTCTTAGCTGTGCTCCTGTTAGAGAGATGCTGTGGATTGTTCTAGATCTCACTGATTTTTGATTTGCACAGGGAACCAAGAATGGCAAATTGCCCCAGCCAAAGTTTTCAGGTCATTCACTAATCAATAACATTGAGAGGCTTACAGGGCAAGGGAGGCTAGGAAGAAGGGGTGGGACAGGATTATTGTTTGGTATCTCATAGATTTAAAATGATAAACTGTGAAAGCTATCTTACGGCATTTAGAAAAAGGTCTTTGCATAAGATTACAGCAGGGATGTTTTAAATGGAGCTGATGCTCTGGTACATATAGTAATACTTGTTTTGATTTAGGGAACTATGATGCGTCACATTTTAATTAGCACTGCTATCTAGTGAGGAAGAGATTTTTCAGTTTGTTCACAATACTGAAGTTTTAGGTCTAAGGCAAAATAAATCTTCATGTAACATGAGATGTTCAGTTGTAGACCTTTAATTTTTTTGTTGCAAAAATTATTCTACTTTCATTAAACAACTTTCAAAAGTGTTCTCAAAATACCAAAGCAAAAAGTCTATTTTTTTGAGAAATCATATCAAAACAACACTTAAAAAAAAAATCCAGAAAAACACCTATTTTAACTCTCAAAATTTTGCCTTATGTTAATTGTCTTATAAAAGCACTCAAACGATCCTGATTAAAAAAGAAAAAAGAAAAAAAAAAAAAGAGTCCTGAGACTTTTGAGGGACTACCATATGCTTGGCCATATAGAAGCTATAGGTCAGACAAAACTGTGCTTCTAGGGTTAATTTACCTATGTCAGTTCACTTACCGTGACACAGCTGCCTGTGCCGATACACCAGTAAAATGTAATAGTCGTCTTATCTGACAGTGCTAAAATCTTGATGATTACTAGATACATTGGAGCTCTTCATGGGGAAGTAGCTTTCTGCTGTAAAAATCATTAGAGGCTCTCACTCAGAAAAATTCTTAAGAGCATGTATAAAGTCAAATGAGTGCTTGTGTTGATTTCAAGAGACTAATCCTGTTTCAAAAGCAGGATCAGAATGGAGATTTGCTTTTCCTTGTAATAGCCAAAAAGGACAGTTTAAAGTACTGCTCAATTCCAAAAGAAACTAGTACAGAGCTAGAAGTGAAACACACAATGCTAAAGCTGGTTAAGGATAGTATTTTCTTATTCTGCCCAAAGTTTTGGACTGAAATATATTATTACTTTTTAGGAAGAAGAAAAGCTCCCTTACCCCAGCTTCCTGTGAAACGATGCAGCATTAAGGAAACAAAAGCAAAAAGGGAAAAGAGAAACCCCACTAAGATTAAAGTAAAACTTTTGAAAGGCCACAGTTACTAGCATGCAAGACTGGCATATTACTGCACTGCTGTAGCAAATAATATGAAAAACAGTTGGCACAGTCAACTTTTGAGCCCTGTTTTGGTGAAAAATGAGCATTGCTGGGGTAACATTTGCCTATCGGCATATGCACTCTTTGCAGTTGTTTAGACAAAGCACTGTGTTAGAGTATTCAGAGTTTGTATTAATTGCAAGCTTTACACAAATAAATAAATAAAGACAAGCAAGACCCACGCTACCTTTACGAACGCAGCCTGTTAGATTGCATGGCCTTACGTGCCATGAGAGGGCAGTACTCCAGTCTTTTGCTTTGCATTCATTACAACAAGAAGAATGATCTGCAAGCCTTTGGATAAAGCAGATATTTTCCCACCACGAAGGAAGGGTTTAGACTGTGATCTCAACTTTTCTTCGTCTCTGTGAGGGGCCCTGTTCTCTGAAGGCAAGGTAACAGAGCACCTGCTCTTGGGGGAAATGTCTGTACAGCTGTCTAAGAATAGAGACATCTTGCATGGTCTTTCTTCCTGTCCATCCAAAGAAGGACCATCACATTCTGGCTCCTTGTTGCAAGCAATAGTTTAGTTTTGAATGAGAATGCCTGAAGTGGTACAGAAGCAGGTTTGGTATCTAGTAAAAGACAATTTCATGCCACATATTACTTACCTTGCAATACAAACACAAACCCTGAACGCAGAATTATAATTCTTGACCTTGTATTACAGCAGTTGTTTAAACAACCGAGTGCAAGCAAAATGAAATATTCTTTGACAGGATCAGACTGTCATGCAAATGCATGAGTTTCTCAGGTGGTAATGTATAGAAGGACTTCCACAAAAATAAAGTGCCAAGCAAAACCAATGTTCCCTACATCAATATGTTGTCAGTTTCACAATTTGGATGTGGTCTCTTCAATTTATACTGCTCCAGTTTATCCATTAACTTTTTCTACCTTCTTAATCCAGTAATACTGAATTTAAAAGACCATTAGTGAAGCAGACATTACTTCATTTGCTAGGCATCATTACAAACATAACAGTACTTCCAAAGCTTTCTTCAAACTGATATTTTTAACTCTACTTCTTAAAGAAAAGAATCTCAAAATTGGAAAGATTTTCCTAGTATTTCCTATGAGAATGCTTTTCTTAATTTAATCTGCATTTCCTCTACTTGAAGGCTTTGTATGACCTTATGTATCCTTCAGGTATTTGAAACCTACCAATTTTTACTATCTATTAGAAGCGTTTTCCTTATTTAGCTTTCTAAGGGCCACATTATAGACCCTGACACAGGCTTGTCTATAACTGTAACAACTCTTGCACGTGCCTGCTCACCAGTGTATGATCATGGGAACATCTGGAGACCAGACAGCAGTAAACTATTATCTCCTGTGTCACAAAACCTAATTTTTATTTGATCAGTGTATTTCATTTTTTTTTAATGAGACCTATGGAGAGGCATGGTTTGCCAGGCTCTGTTCACATCTCTGCAAGCCTGACAGTATTTTTATCTTGCTTTTAATGACACAGTATTTTCCTGAGAAGATATTTTACCTTCTCTGGGTATGCCCATTTGGTTTCTTATCTGTTGGCAGGTCAATGATGAGCACACACGACTGGGCATGTTCAAACCCTTCCTTGTTGCTTGGGGTCTTTGGGGAGCACTGAGTCTCCAGCATGAAGACCTAGAAAACAACCAGTTACATAAAACAATCAGTTTCTCACTTGCACTGGGTCCCTGGGGGTCCCGAGAACAGGATTTCCTGCATTGTGAAAGATCTGCTATGATAACTTATTTTACAGTGATGGAGTGAATGCAAAGTATCCCCCCAGGCAGACCTTCCCTGCAGCATGCTGCTTTGGTAAAACAGCCTCAGAGCCATGGGCTACCTCCAGACACACAGCAGAGCACAGGGCAAAGGGCAGGCATCTCTTTCTTCGAACTTGTATAAGGTATAATACCAAGCACCGAAACAAGCTTTCTGCTGTCTGTATACCACTATCAGAAAATATCATCTATAGTGGAGACAAGGACCTGTTTGCATAGTTAGCCTGTTGTACCTAGAAAGGCTGGTTGTTGGAAGGCTTGTTTTCAGCCATGAAGATACAACAGACACCTAACTTGCAATTCTTTGGGTAGGAAATGGGGAAACAACTCTCAGTTGCTGTAGCTTTGTTTTGTAGCTTAGTAGTTGTGTCAAATCCCACTGAGAAGGACTCAGGGACTGCCACTGAGAATGTGTACAAGAAAAGTATAAACACCACGTTCCCTGCTTTCTTGAGTTCTTCATCTTTAAAACTTAATTGAAAACATTTTTTCTATTCCAACAAAGTCTGCCACTGCCCCATTATTTGTGATCACAAATCCTGGTCTGTGTGTCTCAGATTTTCAAGCAGCATCAAGGTATGATTAATCAAGTCAGAAATTGACACCAAACATCTGTTGGCTCTTTTAATCCAGCTGCTTTCCCATGCTGAAACTGTCACACCGTATTTACAGTTTTATGGTACCCTGCAGGTCATTAAGTTCAGTCTGCTGTATTTCAATGAACTTGTTTCGTACAACCACTTTCATAAAATGAACAACCTCCATTGTAGTCAAAAGGACCCTGAGAAGGCTGTCTCCAAGCTTGCTCTGCTGATTAGGAGTTAGTGGGGAGTTTTAAATAATTTGTTAAATGTCTGCATTATCCTCTAGTTCTCAGTAACTCTTTTTCTTCTCTGCAATCTATACGCAGGTATTCATAGAGAAAAAACCTGCATTCCTCTTCAAACTCTGCTTTGATAAGTTGAACAAATCTTGTTTTTCTAGTTTCATATCACAGTCTCTGTTCTAGTACATTTTTTGCCCTTTGAAATTACCATTCTTTAACAGAGTAATTAAAAATGTATATGACATTCTAGATGAGAATTCATAGTGCCACTACTATTTCCTTTTCTCCATCAGAAACATTTCCACTGACGTACACTAGGGTTGCCTTTTTTAAAGATAGGCCCGCACAATAGGCTTATCGTTAGTCCTCCTCAGGTACCTATGCATCTTCCCCCACCCTAGGCATTCCTAATTCCTACTTACAGGGGGACAGTTTCAAGGGTTTTTTTTTCTAGTTTTTATTACTTGTTCTCAATACTAGTTAGACAAATAAATGTTAGCCTGGTGATGAGGAAGTCTTTGCCCATAGGGTTTGTGAGGAAGGTGTTAGTAAAGGTGTACTTTCATAAAGAAAAGCTTCAATTTTAAAAGGTTCTCCGACTTCCCCTGAAATGTCAGTCAGTACCTGTTGTGCCATGGCTCTGATTCTCCAGTATTCAGCTTCAGCACTTGGCGAGAGGGAGGGGGCTGCCACCTTCACTTCACAGGCATCTCCACTAAAGCTTTCGGAACCACTGTGGAAATAGCCCAACAGGTTCTATAGAGAGACACAACATCAGACTTTCACTGTGCGTTAAATGAAGTCAATGACTGTAGCATTGTCCAGCCTGTTCATGTGTGATACAAGATTCAGAGTGATCTGTCCCATTACCATAAGCCAGTCACCTGCTATTTAGCATTTGATGTATTTGATGCAAAGGCATTACTACTTCTTACGTAGTCTGGCTTGTGATGAGGATGTTTTTGTTACAAGAAAGACAGTGAGTTGAGAAATAGTCTATAAGGAGCATACAGCTACAGGATCAAGTAAGCAACTTTGTCTTCTGTCTAATTTTAGCCAATCCAGAGGAAGAAATAGATCAAAAGGTAAGTTTTCACCTATTAAACTCTTCTGATTTCATACTGGCAGGGCAATTTAAAGTAAGTCTGGACTATGAGTGACTAGTGGTGTCTGCACATGTTTAGAAAAACTGATTTCAATCTGCATTGTTGATCCAACACCTTTCATTGACAAAATAACAAAACTGACAAAATAGCAAAAGCTACCACATAATCCTTATGCTTCTTTTCTTAGCTCTGTACCCAAAAACTTTTCTGAAAAAGAAAAAATCAGCTTGTCAAAAGTTAGTCAGTCTATAACTAGTGTGATTACATTTTGACTGTCAGCAAAAAGGCAGGGTACCTTTACTGGCTCCAGAGTGGCAGAGAACGCATCCTGCAAGGCACAACACGCAAGCCTCCACATCTCTTCAGTAAAAACAGGCCCTGCTGTCACTAACACATACCTGCAAGGACACAGAAAAACATTAGCATGTTCAAGACAGAACTAGACAATTCTTACTTGTAATGGGAGAAGGTCGAAAACAGAACAAAAGGCCTACTCAGCAGCTAGCTAATGATATCCAATTTCCTCAGTTGTTACCCTGGCCTATTTTTGTAATTACACGGTAGTTTTGGCTTTTTTTTTTCCCTTTGCTTTTAAGTAGTCATCTTGCCGGGACAAGAACCACATATTGCATAAGTATATAATGCAGTGCTTATTTTGATTATGACTGTAATAACCTGAAGACTGTGAAAGGTATTAATTACCTCTAAAGACCTCTGAATTCCAACAGAAAGGCCCTTGGTTATTTTTCCTAAGGATTAATTATTGACTAACTGCATGTAAGTAACATACAAGTGCTTTTTACGGGAATGATACATATAGCAATGCCTAAAATTGCAGGTTCTGTCTGAAGCAGACAGAAAACAGCAAGAAAAGGTTAGTAAGTCTAAAATTCATTATTCAAATAACAAGAGATAGATATATTGTAGACTTTTTCTGAGATGTTAGCCAACTTAATCAGTCCACAAGTTCTTCAAAGATATAAAGACATCTTTATTTTTTTTGAATATGCTAACAGAGTGAATAGACTGTGTTACCTGATACAAGAGCAGCCAACTCTGGAAATAATTTCTGTTGGTTCTGCTACACAGGCTACCAGCAACTTGAAAAGGTCTTTCAGCATAGTATTGATCATATTTTCATAACCAATATCTATAAGGAAGAGACACAGACTGGTTTTAACATCATTGCCTTTTCATTATAAACAGTCTTCCTACACTTACTGCTATTCAGAGACTTTGCAAAACCAAATCTTTTTATGCAACTATCGCTAGAGTTCAATTTTGAAACATTCATCACATCAAACTGAAATAAGAACAGTCCTTTTGATGCTAACAATATAAAATCTCTGGGCTTAACTGGTACTGGAGGAATTCTGCTAGATCCTGTTTCTGAATATTCTAGTTCTTTATGATGGAAGTCTTAATATCTTCTTTTGGAAAGCACAATACAGACTGTGATGATTTAATTTTGAAGATATCCCTGCTCTGAGCGGAGGCTGGACTAAATAACTGCCCTAGGTCCCTTACAAATTAACTTCTTCCATAATTCTAAACCCTGTAAGGAAAGAAAAAAAACCCGAAACAGAAATTTTCAACCCTCTTCCTCTTATTTTATGCCTGAGTAACCAAAAAGCAATGAAACCATCTCCCCAAGCAGCTATTCAGTAACATGCCACTGATGACTGTCAGTAGATGTGACGGTGCAATGACATACCTGAGTGTATGAAATTTTGAATGTGCTCCACTACGAGTTCACAGGAAAGGCCAATGGCATGCTTGAAATTAGCAGATGCCACATCCCAGTAAGAATGGTCACCATGGCTGCGATGGAGCCAAAGAGACATCGTGGGAAGAAGAAGATGTACAACTGCGTAAATGCCAAATCCTGGGCCTTAAAGCAAACACAGTGATGGTTGTACATTTTTGCTTGCAAAGCCTACATGCACAGTAAATTTGCCAAGTTGTTCCAAGCTTGAGGCCAGGGGCTGTGCTAAAGAAAGCACGTTCTGAAACTTTTTTTGTAGGATCAGAGGGGTAAGCAGTTTTGGATCTAGTTGTGAGGTAGTATATGAACATTTAGCCAACTATTTACCTACTGTCTTTCCCAGCAGGTCCACAGGACTATATAATTTTCTTTTTCCATTTCCTGGACACCAGGCAAACTTTTTCTGTGGCTAGGACATCAATAGAGTACTGCACCTCTTTATTTGTGCAATAAAGGTAACAGTATGTTCAACACACTCTTACAAGATGGCTTTTGTCAACACAGAACAATGCACTAACTGGAACAACAGATCACGCTCTGAGAAAATCCCTTTCTACTTGAGACTGTCTCTGTGCAGCTCTAGCATGAGTAACACACTTTACAAAAGTGGTTTAGGATTCCAAGAGGTTCGGGTCAGGGCTCTACTAGCTCACATTTTATCAAGCCCTTTCATTACCAGGTATCTTGGCAACGTCCCTCAGCAATTCAAAGAGCAGATCCAAAGTAGGAGGCTGGTGCTGGCGGGGACAGTTGGATATGGCAGTTGTTAATTCTTCCAGCAGAATAATCCAGACATTGATAAGGCCTACAAGTAAGGAAACAAAGATTAAAAGCCATGAGTGAGATACTGTATTGACCACAGGTGGAACTTGCCCTCACAAAGTGATGGAGGCTAAGAAATTAATTAACTTAAAGATTATGGGTTCTTGCATGTTCACTGTTGCTGTGTAATGGTTGTGGGCAGTATCAATTTTTGAAATGATGTTCTCCTTTTCCTTCCCATTCTACTAAGTTTGTGTTTTGTCCCATCCTTCCTCCTCCATCTTGTTCTGGTCTTCTTTCTTAGTTTACTACTACCACTATGCCAGTCTCTTTAACCTTGGAGGGTTTTTTTAATTTTTTAATGGGACATTTTACGCATGTCACTACCGTTGCAAATGCTGTCCAGAATAGTTTGTACCCATTTAGGTTATGCTTTTAGGTAAGGATCCTAAGGTGACTAGCCATGATTTAACTGTCTCTTATTTGGTACCCAGACCTGAACAGTAATAAAGCCTCACAAAGTATCATCAGGCTGCCTCACATGCCATCTTTAGATGTTAAGAGGACACAGATAGAAGAGTTTTAAATGTGGATATGTCAGAGCTGGATAACTACCAGAACAGCAGTTAGGATACAGGTAGTACTGTGAGTGCATATCTATATTAGCAAACATATATCCCTAAAAGATTATGGGATACAACTAGTTTTCCATACAATTTTGAAGGTGGTTAGGAATTGCTGCCCTTTAATTTTTCACAGATCACTTAAGTACTTGCTAGTTCCCCATGATATTATGAATGACTAGAAGGATCTTGCATATTACACTCACAATGCTCCTGCAATATATAGTGTTATTCTTGAGCTAAGTCTCTTTAAAAGGCTGTTGGTTTATTAGGATAACATGGGTTTTACTTTGGTTCACTAATAAGCCCTCCTTCTCTCCCACTGGTAGCCATGCTGTTGTAGTCTGTGTCTGCATGATGCTTGCTGGCTAATTACATTCCAAAAGCAATAAAAAAGGCTGCAAGGGAACTTTGTATAAGATGCACTGAGTTTGCTGACTGCAAGAGTCTTCCCGAGAATCAAGGAAAACACAGTGAAATCATTACTTAGTAACTGGGTTGATCATTTATTTATTCACACCACTTCCACAGGGCAGTATGTATGGTAACATTGTTTGGAGTCATAAGGAAACAGCACAAATCACTCAGCACGAAATCTGGGTATCTTAAAATCTGGAAGAACTGAGTATCTTTTAGAAACACCCTCTTGAAGAGTTTGGCATGGAATCAAATACACTATGAAAATATACCGCACCACCATATGGCAAAGTAGGCTAGAACATTTTGCCCCGTCTGGGTACTGACTTTCAGCACTAGAGTGCCAGATTAAGCACTGTCTTCTGTCTTTGTAAAGTCAGTTTCCCTAGCAATGTTCTAATACCATTACCAGCTAAGTAAAAATTGGATGAAAGTTTCGGTGCTTAGCTCTGACAAGAACCAGATCAGAGGGTTTCTTTGCTGCAGGGTGGTGTGTCTATTCACAGCAAGCAAGGCATTGATAGGCAGAGCCAGTTCAGAACAGTAGGCAAGTGGGGCTCACCGGAGGTGGGGAGACCCTAGGTCAAGTCCCAAGCCTGACTCAGAGACTTCAGTGACCTGGGTCTCCCACATCACAGGTGAACATCCTAAAATTTCCAGAGAGAGAAACACCCCAAATATAGAAAGAAGAAAGTAAAAGTTTTTTAGAAAAAAACCCAAACCACAACAAAACTAGGACTTGTGGTTTGTTTTTTTCAGAGAGTAGCTTTTCTCTCCTTTATCCAGGGTAGCAATGGAACAGGACAATCCATGTGGTGGAAGGGCCTAGATAAAAGTAGGTACCAAGAGTCATTCTGGTGAGGCATATGAATGAAACGCATTGGAGTCAGCCTGCTTTCTGCCTGGTTGGAGCTGGCTCTTCACAGAAGCAGCCAGGTTGGAACAGTGTTCAGTATCAGTAGTTCAGATATTCAGAAGCGACTGTACTGCTTCGAAGGGCCGTCATGAGTCCAGAAGCAGTAAGGCTGCATTCCTCTACCGCTTGGCTCCACACAGATCTAGTTCATCAAACACCTGATTAAGTTCATCAAACACCTGATTAATCCACAACCCATATGAGCCACACAAATAATCAGGAGACAAATGCTGCTTGTTCTTCTGGAGGTCAGAGTGCTTTTTTATGGACTTGAGAAATATACCACTTAATTCAACAGACCACAGGACATAAATTTGGAAACATACTTAAACAAGTATTCTTCATTTTTCTAAACTCTAACTCGACATTTATATTTTTTCTGTTAAAGGCAGGCCTGCCAATACCAACCTTAAAAGGTTTTCACTCCTTTAATTCAGCTGTGGTCTAGACAGTATTTTTGTGTTAGCTCTCAGAAATAAAATACTGGTTGTATTATGAATATCAGGATAATTAGAATATTATTAATTAAAATATTGTTAAAATATTAATTAA